GGATACGAAGGGCGGGCGATTGGATGTGGCATGAGCTGGGCTTCCAAGGGTCCAAAATGCTTCGAAACAGGTGGGACCCAGAGAACAGGCGGCACAGGCAACACTTACAAAGCTTGGGCTTGCAAAGGCTTGGGCTTGCAGTATGCCTCAGGGTAAGAGCATCGCCATGGTATTTGAGTTCCTGGGTCGTAGTACTCATAGACTTGATTCCAGATAGGGCCAGATGCGCTGCTCTATTCCTCCATTCGACCCGTTCCAGATAGTTCCACTATTCTCCCAAATCAACAACGTGGCTTGACCCTTTTGCTCCCCTTTGGGTGCTGTTGAGTCACCTCGCCCCTCTTCAGGTGGAGAAGTGAGGGGTTTCTACCGGGTTTGAGGGGACCCGGGCGGAGCTCGTCCAGTTGGTGCCCGAAAAGCAGGCATAGATGGGATTAGCTGATCAGGGGGACGAATGTTATGACTTTAGACTTTCAAATCGTCAAATCTCCAGTTATATTGTGTCATTGAAATGGTTCTTGCTGTTGCTTCCATGAGCTTCCCCCAGCTTCTTTGCTTCTCATCCCAGCGAGGGCGTAACCCTGGAGTTCGCTTTTGCCAACTTTTGCCATGAGTCATGCCTTGCACATCCTTGTTTTAGCATGGATTGCAAGTCCCTGCCCAAAAGTAATGGCCTCGGCCGCCTGGCCCAGCGAAGCTCACTGATCGGAGCATGTGAGTCCTCCAAGAGGAGACGTCATTCTGTTCAGAGACATCGATCACTCCAAATTCCTCGCACAAGGAGACTGCATTGTACCGACTTCGTAAGCAATTTGCTGCCTCGATCGCTCCCCTGGGTCACGGGTAGGCTGGAGTAAAAAGAGAGCTGGGAAGGCATCATTGAATCCATTCATGTGGCATTGGGGCATTGGAAATTCATGGTCTTCAACGGTGTTTTTGAATCATGGTATATCATTGCTCTATGATATTCTATGGGACAGGCCACTTCCTTCCGATGTTTTTACTGTTGGTCATCGAGCGCCGCACTGCGCGCCGCGCACTGCAGTTTTTGTGAGGCTCCCAGGCTCGCGACGTCGCCGATTTCTTACGCACCCGTCGTGGAATTTGCCTCGCCGTGACCCTGCCCATGGTGGCTTCCAATGCGCCGGTGCAGCTCTTTGCAACGTCACCCAGGCTGAGCCCCAAAGGACTAGCATCTTGGCTTTGAGAGTGGCAATGAAGAAGTGCAAGGAACCGCGCCAATTGGAATTGTTGATGGGGCTGGGGGATCCAGATGTTTGAGTTGTCTATGTAAGCAGATCTATCAGGAACTTCATGCTGAGGAACTAGCTGTTTTGGAGAGGGCTGACAGTTGGGGAATATTGTCTTTCCAGTTTCACTTGGGCAAGGTGGCATTCCGGGCACTTTCAGCGACACTTCTTCTGGGGCATCAGGTGGCACATGCGGCGTATTGGGCCACGATGTTTGGAGGCAAGAGCTGGTTCTACCTCCTATACATCACTCATTGGACAATGAGCCTTGTCTTTCAATATGTTTCAATTCAAGTGTGGATCCTCTAGGGACAGGCCCTGGCCTGGGGTTTAGAAGC